GCCGCTGCGTAGCGAGGCTTCGGATCGCACATGGCTGTAAGCTATTGCAGAGGACAAAAACAACAACCACGACTTACACAATTGACATTGGATTGACACGAGAGGGCGCCATCCGATCTGAATGGAACGTATCGAAGTCAGTCGTTTACGAACAGATGAAATAATTTCAGCAAAACCTCAACAAAACTTAGCAACATTTCATAGTAAAAATACACCTCTAAAAATTATGTCTATTGCAAAACCGACAGCCAGTTTGACGCCACAATTTCTTGCTGGAGCCAGAATTCAGTACATGTGATTTCATTGCGTTCAAAATTATTTCTCGAAATGCATACTAAATAGGTAACTTGTCACTGATAAGAGTCACTGAAAACATTTTGAGCAAGTTTGAGCAATAGTACTAGAGTGAAATATAAACGTGCCTTTGCATTCTCCATGAATTTCGTAACTTGCTATGATCAGGGTAAAGAAACAATATGTGGTGTGACTTTTGCTGGAGTCTGATCAAAAACGTATCTCAATAAAACGTCTTTACATCACTTTTTCAGCTCGTAACGATTCAATCAGTCAATTTAGAACTATCATGTATGCTATCGTATTATAATGATGGATGGTTAGAGATGTAAATGATAAAGACAGATGAACTTCAGATATTTATTCAGTGGACAGTCATTACTGGTTGCTAACTCTAAAGGTACAATGCATCTTGGGTAGAGAGGGCAAAGGTCAGCAAAGGTTACGACCTCTACAATACAGAATACTACATATCGAGAAGCCTTTAGACACAATTTTACTGAAAAGACGAGTTTTACATTGCTCATGAATATTAATTTATGCAAATGAGACGATTATTTCAACCAATCGTGTCATGCACCCCCCCCCCCCACTTGAGAGCAGGGATACCGGGAGGCATACTTTCATTAGTTTATGCAAACTGTGACCTCGGACTGTGACATTTACCGTGGATTCAGGTAATACAGGTAGACATAATTTCACTTCACTTGTCGTATTTGCTTGTACAAACCTTCATTCATCGACACGATCGGGCAACCCAATCAGGCGGCCACCATGTCAGCGGCATTTTTTACGGAATCTAGAAGCGCGCGTTCTACGTTTCAATATTGAAATCCGTTGTTATTGGCAACGGACCATTTTATTTGATGCCGAGTTTAGTGTTACATACTTGTTACCTCGTATTTTTTTTAAACACATTATTCTTTATTCGTTACCGAAAACAACATTATATTTATATCCATAATACGGGACCTAGGTGCTCTGCAGCAATGACGTCATAAAATGTACTGGCATTGATAAATGCTATAACATAATAGAATAGGCAATATAATAGGTACGGTTACTTCAGAGGTTGGAGATCGTCGCGCGGTAAACAAACGATGTTTCATACGCTGTATAGCCCCGATAGGTCCTCATAGCAAACGACGCTTGGCGTCTACATACTTAAAATGCATTATAACATATGCGGTTTGCTAAACGTTGAACGATAGCTAGTGGTCAATATGAAATAATTT